TTACCGGCTTGGCCTCCACACATTTTGTGGAGGGGTGTGGAGGGTGACCTTTTGACCTAGATATGCATGTATGACGCAATAGGAGACGGGAACCCATGGAATGTGTGGAGGGATTAATGTGCAACACAATAGGAAAGAATGTGTGGAGGGATTATATCACATAATATATGTGGAGGTAAAATGTTTTAGGCGATAATGCAATACACATCACTATAAGTGTGGAGGGGATCATGCAAGACCGAACATGTCCACGGTGACAGCAACATAGATTTAAAAATAACCTTATACATATGTAGAGGGTAGCCTTCTATACACAGTCCAGGAAGAAAGAAGGTGTGGAGGGATTATATCACACTTCTATACACAGTGAGTTGAAATAGCAGCGATGCAACCTTAGGTGTATATAAGGTAAACATTTAGAGTCTCCACAAATGGCACAAGAGATTATCAACCGTATAATCAAGGAAGATATTACTCTGACAAGCATATCACAGAGTAAGGTAGACTGTCGTCTTGGAACTACACAAGAAGTCATCGGGAAAAAAATCAAAGGTGAGCTGAAGATCTGTTTAAAAGAAGACGGGAAGAGTATACAAATAACAGGACACTATTTTAAAAAGATACTGTTTCTATCGGAAAGTTTAAAGTGTGTTTGTGATTTGATACACTAACATGTCAGATATTACAACAGACTGTTTACGTCATACTTCATACCACATTCGACCAGCATACCAGTCCATGATTCAATGTGAGGATCGATTACAAACGTTTAAGGACTGGCCCCAACAAATACGACAGATTCCAAACGAACTGTCATAACAGATTTTTTTTATTCAGGACATAGCGATAAAGTCACCTGTTTCATGTGTGGAGTACAGTTAAGCTCCTGGACAGCCTACGATTCCGTCGAAATCGAACATAAAAAGTGGTCTACAGATTGTGTGTATTTACAAATGGTCATACCCCTACACGTCTAAGGTTACACAGTATCATGCTAATTTATAATGGATATATTTGAGGAGAGACTTCATTCTTATATGAGAAACCACATCGAAGAAAAAGCTTATAAGAAGATTGTGAAAAACTTACTTTGTCTAGCTTATGCATCAAGCGTGAAAGACGTCATATCAAAATTAGTTGTATGCGGAGGATGTGTGGAGGGTCAAGCTAGCCAGCAAGGACATGACTGTGTCATGCTTGATAGTGACGACTTAGTAGATAGATATTTCAACCATTTAGAAGTGGAGAAACTGTGGCGTCAATTTACTATTCAGTCCTGTATTCCTTCACACGTGTTACACCTATATCAATAATCATTAAAAAATGATGTTATAAGACATTTTATAGAGGAAGTGAACAGGTGGAAAATTCCAAACAAAATAAGAAACAAATATATTACAAATGTGTCTAGCTTAGAATGGAGAAATACTGAACTGAAAAAACTATGGAGAAGAAAAAAGATTGACGAAATGATTCAATCTATGTCTCGTGTAGAGAGTCGCTTTATAAAACCGTAACGTTTATCTTTTTTGTTCACTTATGTGGAGACTTTTAAGACAACAGCTTAAGTATGTATTCGTTAACCAATGTATTGTAAATGTAAACTGATTGTATATCTTGTCTTTATTATATTGTAAGCGTGAACATTTTATCAGTATGCATATTTAAATCATTAAATTGTGTGTAAACGAGCATACTTTCTATTATTACTTTTATATTTTAACATTTTCTGAACGTCACATGTATATTACGTTACAGAAAATGTTGACGCAGCAAGAAAAACAGAGAGTGGATGACATTTATTATAATTTCAATAACGGTGGAACATTCTTAAGTCCAATAAAAGTACATCAAATACTGAAATCACAAGGATTTAACTCTCCGGGTTTATATAAGATCAGACGATACATTCAAAGTCTTGACGACTACAGTCTGCAAAAACCTGTAAAACGTTCATTTAAGCGTGCACGTGTAGAAGTTGGAGAATCGTTCGAGCAATATGACACCGATTTATTGGACATGACGTCACTTGCCAAACATAACTCAGGTGTACGATAATTGTTGATGGTCATCGATGTGTTCAGCCGTTTTCTCTGGGTCGAACCTATTAAAACAAAAACAGCAAAAGAGGTATTAGAAACCTTTAAGAAAATAGTCGAGAGAGGTAGAATCCCAAAGAAAATTCATTCAGACTTAGGCAAAGAATATAATAACCGCTGGTTCAAACGCTGGTGTCTTGATTATGACATTCATTATTTTACTACACAAAACGAAATTCATGCTCCCATGGTAGAGCGGGTCAATAGGACATTTAAGACCATGATATTTCGCTACTTTACAAAATTTAGAACCTATAGATACATAGACAATCTACAGAAATTTGTTGATTCTTATAATGCCACACCCCACCGCTCCCTCAATGGAACAGCTCAAAAAGATGTAAATGACAACAATCAAGCAGATCTTTTTGCTCACATGTACTTAAAAATAAAAAAGACACTTAAAACGAAAAAAAAACCAATCGCTACAAATTCAAGATAGGAAGTTTAGTTCGCATTTCACACACGAAACAGCTGTTTAAGCGTGCCTATCAACAACAATGGTCTTCAGAGATATTCAAGATACACAAAAGAGTTCTAATGCAGGGAATAACACTATATCAATTGATAGACTTTTTAGATGATACCATCAAAGGAAATTTTTATCAGTCAGAATTACAACGAGTTGAAAAAGATGAAAAAACTTTATGGTTTATAGAGAAAAAAATACGCAAACGTAGAAGAGGAGGTCAGATCGAGTGGTTTGTCCAATTCAAAAGATGGCCCTCTAAATATAACCAATGGATTCCCGAGAAAGACATCATAGACATGACAGAAAGCTAGCATGGCACACTACGTGATCATTAACAGTAACAAGAATCTCGACTACTTCCCCGACAACAAACCATACCATTTTCGCTGTCAACTAAAATCACCCATTACTCTGAATGGTACATGGAATATGGCACTCGTTGACATATGTGTAACGACAAGTAATACAAAGTCGAGAGAAACTGTATACATACATTGCGATATTGTTGGAGAATCAATAATCGACGGTGAGAAGCAGAATCTACTTCGAATGGTGAAAGCTCAGAAAATTGTAAGCTGGAGCCCTGACACTCTTCAGTACGTTCCTGTAAAGAAGTCAGAAATCAGAGATACAGAAATATCTATTAAAGACAGTGACGGTAACTGTGCTTCATTCTTGAAGAAATCATCAACGATTACACTTCAGTTTAAAGCCTACCCATTGTACAGATGAACGTTTCTAACTTACACGTGTCCAATGTGGGTAAGTGGCTACAGTATTATCAAAAGGTTACGGATGGTAAGATCAATCCTTATACAGATATGCAAGATGTAAAACAAAGGGGAGAAGGTAAATCAGGCAACATGGCTGAATTCATCATTCCCATCGACAAGTATAGCAGTGACGGAGAGAAAGCTTTACCGATACGGAACCTTGATGTTAACATGGTATCACCATCACAACAAATAATAGATCAAGCCAAGTCAGAGTTAAAAAGGAAGAGAAAACCGACACCTTCTCATTCTAGCAGGAAACGTCAAAGGGTACAGACCTCTTAGAGAAAACCACCAAGAAAAGTCAAACCTAAGACAGGAAAACAGATTAAGAGACGTAAACCTATACATAAGCGAAAGCTCACACAGAAACGTAAGCCTACACAAAGGCGGGAGCCTACACAGAAACGTAAGCCTACACAAAAGCGGAAGTCTACACAGAAACGTAAGCCTACACAAAAGCGGAAGTCTACACAGAAACGTAAGCCTACACAAAAACGGAAGCCTACACAGAAACATAAGAAATCTACCAAGAATCACTGACTATCATCATGGCTACAATAAACAAAGACTTTTTCAGAGAAGCTCAACCTTCACAACTGGAATTTTTTGAATTACCACCAACACAGACAGCCGTTGAAAACGTATATTATCAAGACGTACTACCAATATCACAAATGACTGGAGATTCGCCCATAGAATTCGTCGTTTCCGGTCAGAATGGTATGGAATACATCGACATGAAAAATTCGCTAGTGTGCGCTAAAATAACGATAAAAAGGCGGATGGAACTGCCATAAGCTCTACTGAAGACGTGGGACCTGTCCATTTTTTGTTACCTGCTCTGTTTTCACAAGTAGATGTCACACTTCAAGGAAGAACCATGATATCTACAACTGCTAACTATGCATATAAGGCATACATTCAAACATTATAAAAATATGGAAACGATGCTAAAACATCACAGTTAACAACACAGTTATGGCATAAAGATACTGATGGAGAGATGAACGATACAGATGTGAGGACGGGTAATAATTTGGCTTCACTAGAAAGAGCCGAATTATTCGAAGGTGGCAAAGTCGTCGATTTGGAAGGCCCAATATTTCACGATCTATTCAGAATGGATAGATATTTACTCAATCAAGTAAACGTAAATGTGAAGATGTACAGATCAAAGCCAGAGTTTTGCTTACTTTCTGGCGAACAAACCCTTAACTACAAGATCGAGTTTGAAGATATTTGACTACGCATCGCTAAAGTCAAAGTGAACCCTGCCGTCATCTATGCCCAAAGTCAAGGCTAGCAACAACTACTGCAAAATATCCATTTACAGAGAGTGTACTAAAAAATGTCACTCTTGCCGCCGGAGGAACCAGTTTTACATATGATAACATATTTCAAGGAATGAGGCCAAATTTTGTGGAAATTGTGGACGGAATACCCGTAGGAGGTAACTTCATAAAACCAGATTACGATGCCACCACTGGTCAGACCACCATTCTAGTCCTAAGGAACATGTTTAAAACAACTGGAAGATGGTTATCCGATTGTGGATAAGTTATCGACAGGCAGAACATGTCAAATGGTTATTCGTTATACACATTTAATTTGGAGCCTATTTTTCAACGGAATCAGTATCTTACCTTACTAAAACAAGGAAACGTCAGACTGGAAGTAACATTTGGAAGTACACTGTCCAAAACCATCAGCTGCATCGTTTATGCTGAGTATCCTGGCTATTTTGAAATCAACACTGCAAGAGACATTTTAAAGCCATGAATACCAATCAACTTCGTTGCATCATCAATTGTGATTTTATCATGAAAGAACTTAACATAGGTGTATATGCACATGATCGCATACCGATACATATAGAACAATTTCCCGCCGGATTTATTGTCAATACCGACGAAAGCCATCAACCGGGACGACATTGGGTGGCCTATTTTATGGAATCATCAACAAAACAAGAATTTTTTGACAGGTAGAAATGTATCTCTTTACTCTATAGTTAATGTCTTTAGTGATGATTATACGCATAACGATGAATTTGTATATGATTATATCTATAATTCCTTTCCGTTTTGTTTTCAAACTGGTGATGGGTACCAATCATGTTGTCAAGAATATCAATAAAACATCGAACTTTCACTTACCTGTTTTCATTTTGAATCATGTCACAGACAAGTCTGGTTCCCATCGTCTGTCCTGCCACGATACAGTTAGCAGGTAGCTCTGGAAGTGGTAAAACATTTCTGATGAAACAAATATTAGAGCATGCCGATGGTTTGTTTAGTCAGCATACGGCTAAGATTATGATACTTGGCAACCTATGTTTGATGAAGTTAAACGTAATATCAAAGAAATTACCTTCGTTAAAGGGATCTTAGACGAAACACAGTTTGAAGAATGGACTTCTGTTACAGATAAACACAAGATAATCGTACTAGACGACTGTTTGATAGAAGGATCTAATTCCGTACACCTCATGAAAATGTTTTGCATAGGGTCACATCACCGAAATGTAACTGTCATATTTTTAGTACAGAATGTATTTCAGAAGGGGAAGGTCATGCGCACTTTAAGTTTAAACACTCAGTACTTTATCCTGTTTAGAAATTATAGAGATCAGGCACTGATCGAGACGTTGGGAAGACAAATGTTTCCCAGACAGCTAGAATATTTTAGACAGAGTTACCTGTCTGCTGTTTCTAAAAGATATGGATATCTTTTTGTCGACGTCTGTCCACACGGCCCACTGTTGAATATTGTGGATGGTCCGACAGAACTTCCCCCACTGCACACTAGGATATTGCCCGGAGAGGATCCAATCATCTACGAAGCAAAACAATGAAATATTTTCTCGACTTTATGCTTTCTGCACCTCGACACCAGCAAACGATCATCATAAACACGCTTACTAGAGAACAATAACAATTATTAACGGAAATCATATATAATACAGTCATGGATAATATACCGATGTCTGATGTGGATAAAAAGACTGTATCTAAACAGAAACTCGCCATTCGAAAAGTGTTAGCTGAAAATATAACACCAAAGGAGAGGAGAAGTCGATTCACAGCTTTACTTGGAGTTTTACCAACATTTATTAACACCTATCAACAATGGCAAGAAAACTCGTCTTGATAACAAAGACTAAATATGACAGATGAATCGAAGATGATAACAGACCTGATAAAAGTGAAAAACAGATACAAAATGAAGAAGATACAAATCATAATCCAAAATCTACCGAGACTGAAGAAATTAATCAAACAAAACGTGACCAAACTGAAGTGGTAGAAGATGATAAACAAACAAAACAACAGAAGGGAGGGAAGTTAGCAGTAGAAGATACACCGGAACGTTTTCTGAAGAATTTACACAAATCCGTCAAGCGTAAATGGTTACATGTATCGTTTAAGATCTAATTTTTCCTTCAACTTTACATCATGTCTATAAATAAACACATTGTACGGAGGTCCATACTACTATGACTGTGTATATGGATATAAGAGCTCTCCACACAATTGCATCATGTCTATATATACACCCTCTTCAAACATTACACCATTCCCTCTACGGTGTATATAACTAAAGCTTTCGATAACATCAGCTCATAGTGTAATCGGCTGCCATGGCTGAACCATCATCTATAGAGCAGCTATTGTGAGACTTCCCCGACGATGTTGTAGCGGAATGATTACGAAAGCTTAAAAAGGCACTCGGAAAAGACAAAGAAAACCAACCACCTCCAAAAAAAGTACGATTGGCCGACTCTGAGGACTACCAATGCCACGTTTGTAATAAACGTATAAGAAGATTAGACAATTTCAAGAGACATTTGGCGGGTCACGAGAAACCATTGCCTTTTCCACATTGCAATACTTCATTTTCTAGAAAAGATAGTTTAAATCGACATATTCTGAAGAAACATCAAATTGGTGGGAACGTTTCAACCCTACCTAGACCATCTCACATACCTGGATCTTCTCATGTGCAGTCTCCCATACCTGGATCCTCTCAGTCTCCCATATCTGGACCTTCTCATGTACTGTCTCCCGTACAGGCACCAGGGTCTATGCATCAGTTTTCTGATGAAAGCAGCTTGAATGGCTCGGCCAATGTGAGATCTGTTTACCCTGATGATGGTGACAATGCTGATTTACTAACTTTCTTTAGCAATACGCGAGAGGAAGTAGTGAAACATATTACAGAGCAGTGTCATTCTTTACACGGCATTAAGTGGTACATCTGCATTCAAGTAGAACTGGAGAAGGAGGATAAAGAAGGAAACAAACAACAATCCTATCCACATTTTCGAAGCAAAACCTATATATTTTTACCAAATGAAACTTTTTCCCTTCATAATTTGAATGAAGCTTGGCAAAAAATGTTTGTATCATTTCAAGAATATTTGAGAGTGGGATCCAATTGGAGACTCAAAAGGTTAGTAAAATTGGAAACAAGTACTGCCAACTACTCACCTTTGAGTGGTTCGTCCTACTTACTAACACCGGCTACCTTTCAACCTTCTAATTTTATTAATGTTATCAACAAAGATGAAAAGTGTTTCTTATGGTCTGTCCTGGCGTCTCTCCATCCCGATCATCATGTTCAAGAACGAGTGACAAACTACATGTCTTATGAACAGGAACTGGATATGACTGGGATTGTTTATCCCGTGACAATGTCGCAATTAGGAAAGTTTGAAAAACAAAATGACATTTCTGTAAATGTGTTTGGATACCGGGATAAGGAAATATTTCCCATGTATGTCACAAAAATACGGCAAGTACGTCATCATGTCAATTTATTGTATTTAAAATAAGGTGGGAAGAGTCATTATTTTCTCATTAGGAATCTTGATAAGTTTTTATCTAGAACGAATACAACACAACATAAGACTTATTTTTGTCATTATTGTCTTCAGGGGTTTACTAGAAATGACTTATTAGACAATCACATTCAATACTGTTCCAAACACGATCCTCAACATGTAGAACTTCCAGATGAAGGTGAAGGCATATTAGAATTTGCCAGTTTTGCTAAACAGTTAAAAGTACCATTTGTCATCTATGCTGATTTTGCAACGTTCGCTCAGAGAATGGATACATGTCTACCCAATCCAAAACAATCGAGTACAACTCGAAGTACAAAATTCGAACCCTGTGGGTTTGGTTATCAGGTCGTTAGCGTAGACGAAAAGTATACCAAACCTCCCGTCATTTATCGTGGTCCAAACGTGAGTAAAACCGTTTTGGAACACATTTTGGAAGAAGAAAAGGAAATCAAAGACATTTTAAAACATGTAGAACCTTTAGTCATGTCTCCAGAAAATGAGCTGAAGTTTCAACTTAGCACAAAATGTCACTTATGTAGTCAGCATTTTACGGACAAAACCATCAAAGTCAGAGATCACTGTCATTTGACGGGTAAATTTAGAGGGGCTAGCTGTCAGGTTGTAATACAAATTTCCAGTTTCCCTCATTTATTCCCGTCGTATTTCACAATCTCAAAGGTTTTGATGGGCACACACTGTGTGAAACTATGGGTTTATTTAAAGATCATGATAGTACATGTATTCCAACTAACATGGAAAAATACATTTCATTCAGTTTGGGAAATCTACGTTTCATAGATTCGTTCCAATTCATGTTTCAGAGTCTAGAATCGCTAGTCAACAACCTAGCTCAAGAAGGATTAGGGTCATTCAAACATCTATCAAATGAATTTTCTACAAAGCATGCACAATTGTTGTTGAGAAAAGGAGTTTACCCATACGAGTATGTAGACAGTGTAGACAGATTTGACGAAACATCTTTACCATCAAAGTCAGCCTTTTACAGTCAACTGAGCAAATCAAACATTAGCAAAACAGATTATGAGCATGCGCAGAGTGTTTGGAATACATTAAACATTAGGAATTTAGGAGAATATCATGATCTCTATTTGAAGACGGACGTTCTTCTCGTAGCAGACGTGTTTGAAAATTTTAGAACCATGTGCATGAACTATTACGAGTTAGATCCGGCTCATTTTTATACGAGTCCTGGACATGCATGGAGTGCTGCACTCAAAATGACCGGGGTTAGTTTAGAATTACTGACTGATTCAGATATGTATCTGTTTTTGAGAGCGGGGTACGGGGTACGGGGTGGCGTGTCTATGATATCAAACAAATACTCCAAAGCTAAAAATCCCTACGTACCAGAAACTTATGATTCCTCTAAACCCTACAAATACATTCTCTATACAGATTGTAACAATCTGTACGGTAAGGCCATGTCCGAGCCGGTACCGATGGTAGACTTCCAGTGGGTTGACAATGTGGAACATTTTGATGTTCAAAACATACCTATAGATAGTGATACGGGTTACGTCTTAGAAGTAGATCTAGACTACCCGTCAGAACTACACAATCTCCATTCGGACTATCCGCTTGCTCCGGAAACTAAAGTCATTCCCGATGAAATTATCCCCTCATAGCAAAGAATTGTGGAAAGAATTACATCCCAGTCCCAAATATACCGACAGCAAACTGTGGGGACGCATTGCCACCCCTTAACTCGTACCCTCGCTAGAAAACAAGACGAAAAATGTCATTACAGAAACTTACAACTGTACTTAGAGTTAGGAATGAAACTGACAAAATTTCACCGAGTTTTACAGTTTAGACAGCATACGTGGTTGAAGTCTTACATTGATTTTAACAGTCAAAAAAGAAGGGAAACATCTTCCGAATTCGAAAAAGATTACTTTATATTAATGAATAACTCTGTCTTTGGTAAAACCATGGAAAGCGTACGCAACAGGGTTGACATAAAACTGTCTCACACAGTAAAGAAAATGAAAAAGTACGTAGCAAAACCGTCTTTTCAAAGATTTAAAATATTCAACGAGGACTTAGCGGGAATAGAAAACAGTAAACAATTAGAATACAATTTTAATAAATTTTACACATGCGGTTATCGATTGATTCACTTGATGTTATGTGTTCAGTATATGAATAGTCCCTACGCAATGTTTGTAAACAGTGGAGGGGGTTGTGGGTCAGGAGGTGAAAAGGTCACGCGCATTGATCTGGTTATATAAACTGATTACGCAGCATCAGCTTACTACAGACGCTGCAGACATCGCCTACAACCACAAAGATGGACACTGGTCAAGGTCAGTTTTGTTGTTTAATGTACAATAAATTTTGAATCCACTTTGAACTGAAAATGGATCAAACTAAAGTACTTGTTCTAGGGCATAGTTTTGTGCGACGTTTAGAAGCTGACCTTACTGGTTCATGGACAAATTTGGGTTTTGATAGCGATTTGGTCCGCGTCCACTGTGTTGGTCGAGGGGGTGGTCGGGTACACGACATTTTATCAACCATGTCACAATCCATCGTGGATATCAAACCAAAAGTAGTTCTATTACAAATAGGAGGCAACGACTTGGATTCAGTTAATTTTACGGAGGTACAGGGACGTCTGGCAAGGGATTTACATTCTATCGCACAGTGGCTGAGGGAAGGTTATTCTGTTCGGGAAGTTGGAGTCATGCAACTTTTTTATCGGGCTAAAACCAGATCTATAGCGGTTGAAACCTACAACAGAAGTGTCGATGCAGTAAACAGTGAGATCAAACGTTTGTGTGAGGAATCTGAGGATTGTTTTTATTGGCGTCACAAAGGGTTGAAAACTGATGCATTCGACTGTCTCAACAAAGATGGCGTCCATCTTTCCCGCGCAGGGCTACGCAAGTATAAATACTCTGTACGTGGGGCGGTGCTTCAGGGCATACGATTGGCTGA